CTTCTCGCGCGCTATGACCTCGGCGGGAGCGTTGTGGCGCGCGCCGGCCCAGCGTGAATACGCACGCTGATGAGGAGTCCAAAGGTCCATATGCAGAGCAGCATTGGTTTGGTCGCAGTAGACGCATGGTGCCACTGGTTTCAACATCGACGGCTGCGACTTCGACCCCTCATGCACCTCCCTATATGACGCGCAGTAGCATCCAACTCAGAGGCAGATGTATACCTAATCCTCTTTACCTCCAACGCACGTTCCTTGGCTAACGGATTCGCGCCGACCACCGGGGGCAGTCAGCGAAACTGCGCCCCCTCTCGCGGGTCGCGCGGCTGCGCAGCTGGGGGAGAAGACGGGCCCGGTTCTGTGGAAGGGAAACGAAGTCTAGCGTTCGCGAAGTAAGCCTTCTTGAACCCCGCCCCTCCCGGGTTTCCCCAGCTTGAGCGCTGACGCTTCCACCCGCGCGGCATAGTCGCAGGATGAGCAAGTGTCTCTGCGTGGATGCCCTCCCCGTCGCCCCTGGCGAAGTCGATAACAAGCTGTTGAAACTCCTTGACAGTGGTTGGCTGAAGCCATGCCGATGGCGGGCTGAAGCCACTCATCATCGTCTGGGGCGTCGACGACATCTGCGCCAGGTGTCTCAGCTCCTCGGCCCACGTCGTCATCCTCTTCTGCGGGAGCCCGCGGGTTCAGCAACCTGTGGGCCATGAAATCACGGATTGAATTATGCCCCCCCCCGGTCATCCACCTCCACCTTTGCTGGGATGATGTCGTTCATCACGTCGATCACCAGCAATCAGCCAAAGCGGTCCAAGTCGTGCACATCGGAGGGTTAGATAATACGGTCCATAGAACTGGTATGCCTCCAGCTCTGTCCCCCGCAGCGGCTGCGCACCAAGTCTCCATCGGCACGTTCCCCCTCGCGTAGTCGAAGACGTTTTGGCCGACAAATCTGGCGCAGAGGCCACTCATCTCGATGAGTCGCGCATAAGTCGCGCACGTCTGGGCGGGCGACCAGTTCGCGATGTGACGGGCGACCTCGACATGGACGAGACCTGCCATACGCATCGTCAGTCCCCGGGCAAGCATGAGATAGTCACCTCACGGTCCCACGCCCACTGTCAGCACGTGAAGTGAGAACTCATTGTCATCCCATAGCCTTGTTTCCGTTATAACCCTCAACTGCGCCGCCCCCCAAACGCCGTTCACGCCAGCGCCCAAACGCATTCGGATGCGTTTATCTTCGGCGGCCCAGCATCTCCCGAAGACCCCGCACTTCTGGACGTCTTGGGCAGCGAGCGCTTCGGAGGTGAGCCGACGGGAGGAGCCTGCGTCCGCGATGGCGGTGCACGCGCAGGCGGGGGGGGCGCGCCGCTGGCGACGGCGGCCCAGTCGGCGGAGGCAGGGGCGACGTCGCCGACGGAGTAGATGTCGCCGTCGCGAAGAGTGCCGCGCGCGTCACCCGCGGCGCCGCCTTCGGCGGCGGCCCTGCCGGATGCGGCGGGCCCTTGGGCGCCAGTGGCCGCCCGGCCGGAGGCGGCGGACCCGCCGGCGGCACTGGCGGCCCGGCCGCAGGAGGCGGGGCCACTGGCGGCGTCGGCGGCCACGTTGGAGGCGGAGGTGGGGCCCCGCGCCTCGACGACCCGCCAGGCATAGCCGGCGGCGGATCCTTCGACAGCGGAGGCTGCGACGGCCTGGGCGATTGCGTTGTCGCCCCAGCCGCGCCCGTTGACGCCGTCGCGCTGCTGTTGGGCATGTCCGACGGCTTCATAGCATGTGCATGCGTTCTGAACGTAGACTTCGGAGCGGCCTTGCGCGGTGGCCGTCCCGGTGGCGGACGCGGTGGCTTCCTCTCCGCTTCGCTCGACGGCGTCGCCGGCGGCGGCGGCCTGGACTTCGGCTCGGGCGACTCGGGCGCCAAAAAATTCAAAGAATCACTCTCAAGGTGGGGCCCCGCATGACAATCTATGTCGGTTGCCCCTCGCACGTTTCCTTTACGATTGTCGGGGGCCCTCCACCGGCCCTCTGCGTCCTCCTCCTCAACCTCCTCCTCCTTTTCCTCCACCTCCTCCCCATCCTCATCCTCCTCCTCCGATTCCTCCTCTTCCTCGTCCTCTTATCCTTCCTCTTTCTCATCATCATCACCAGCAGCATCATCACCAACATCATCATCATCATCATCATCATCATCATCATCAGCAGCAGCAGCAGCAGCAGCAGCAGCAGCATCATCATCATCATCATCATCATCATCATCACCACCATCATCATCATCATCATCATCCTCATCATCATCATCATCATCATCACCATCATCATCATCATCATCATCATCATCATCATCAAAATCATCATCATCATCACCACCACCACCACCATCATCATCATCATCATCATCATCAGCAGCATCATCATCATCATCATCATCAGCAGCAGCATCATCAGCATCATCATCATCATCATCAGCATCATCATCATCATCATCGTCATCATCATCATCATCATCATCATCATCATCATCCTTATCATCGTCAGCAGCACCATCATCATCATCACCATCATAATCCCTCTTCTCCTCCCCATAGACTTTCTTCCCTTTCCACATCCTCACCTTATCCTCCTCCTCCTCCTCCACCTCAAATTTCTCCTCCTCCTCCTCCTCCTCTCCACCTTATCCTCCTCCTCCTCCTCCTCCTCCTCCTCCTCCTCCTCCTCCTCCTCCTCCTCCACATCCTCCTTCTCCTCCGCCTCATCCTCCTCCTGCTCCCCCTCGTCCTCGTCACCCTTCTCCTCCTCCTCCTCCTCCTCCTCCTCCTCCTCCTCCTTCTCCTCCTCCTCCTCCTCATCTTCCTCTCCCCCTTCCTCTTCCTCCTCCTCCTCATCCTCCTCTCCTCTTCCTCCTCCTCCTCCTCCTCATCAGCATCCTCATCCTCATCCTCATCCTCATCCTCATCCGCCTCATCCTCATCCTGATCCTCATCCTCATCCTCATCCTCATCATCATCATCATCATCATCATCATCATCATCATCATCATCATCATCATCATGTTCATCATCATCATCATCATCATCATCATCATCATCATCATCAGCATCAGCATCATCATCATCATCATCATCCTCATCCTCATCATCATCATCAGCATCGGCATCAGCATCAGCATCAGCATCATCATCATCATCATCAGCATCATCATCATCATCATCATCATCATCATCATCATCATCATCATCATCATCATCATCATCATCATCATTCTCCTCCCATAATCCTCATTCCGCTCCTCCTCCTCCTCCTCCACCTCCTCCACCTCCCGCCCCCAGGGCAGAGGTCGGCGGGCTGGTGCAGCACCCGCGCGGCGCCCTGGGGGAACTAGAGCCTGCATAAATCTACCCCTTGACGGGGGGGTAGTGGGTGCTGTTCGCTAAACGGCCCGGGTTCGCCGCCCGGGCGTCAGTCTCAGCATTCGGGTCACCCCGCACCTAGAACGGTCGGGGGAGGCTCATTGGCGCGTGCCACCTGGTCCCTCTTGGGCAAGGGGACTTGTGGGGGTGGTCCTGGGCACCACTAAGTCTCGCGCCAGGGGACCCACCTGGCGGCCGAGGGTGTTCCAGAGTCCCGACCTGCAGAGCAGGCGGAGGCTTGGGCGGAGGTGGCGGCATCGCTCGGCGCAAGGGCGCCGACCTGAGACGGCCAGAGGACCGTCCTGAGGCTGAGCTGTGAGACCGACGTCAGACTGAGCATCAGTATTTTTCTGCAGGGGGCGGCAAGGCCCGCCTAAGGTTCCCCCAGAAAGTGCCAGATGCAGCCGAAGTGTTGCAGTCCAGGGCAGCAAAGGCTTGTGCGGGGTAGAATTCCGCAGAAATAGATGCAGTGTGCTTCCCCCTCCTATTCCTCCCTCCTCCCCCCATCGCCATCCTTGCCCAGCGCCAGTTCTGCGCTAGTTGTGGTGGAGACGGGTGGTCGGGACATGGTGGGAGGGGAGTGGGATTAGGGAAGGGCATTGTGAACCGGCCGGCTAGGAGCCGAGTCGGGTAATTCAAAAAGAAAGTGCCAAATGCCAAAACCCGCAGCTGTCTAGCACTCCGTGCCTTCCTTCCCCTCCTCTATGTCCTGGCCAGAGCGGTAGCGCACGTCGACCCTCCACCTCCTTCCCCCTTCTCTGCGCGGGCTCTTTGGGCATGAGAGTCGGCACAGTTTTCCCAGACAAGTGCATCCACTTTGGAGTAGAAGCTCCAAGCCAAGGGTCGACAGCTTCGATCCTTCATTGACCACGGGCAGCTGGACTCGTTCTCGCCGAAGCGCAATCAATCAATCCTCCTCCACCTCCTCCTCCTCCTCCTCTTTCTCCTCCTCCTCCTCCTCTTTCTCCTCCTCCTCCTCTCCTCCTCCTCCTCCTCCTCTTCCTCCTCCTCCTCCTCCTCCTCCTCCTCCTCCTCCTCCTCCTCCTCCTCCTCCTCCACCTCCTCCTCCTCCTCCTCCTCCTCCTCCTCCTCCTCCTCCTCCTCCTCCTCCTCCCCCTCCTCATATCCATCCCGTTTGTTCCCGTCATGCACCTGTCCCTCGTCCCGGCAAGGGCGCGCATGCCGACTGTTCTCGACGCTTTCGCCGCCACGCCCGGGGCAGGGGCGCAGTTTCCGATGGCAAAATCGCGAAGTCGCTGGGACAACCCCGCGGGCCAGGCCGCTGGGACAACCCGGCGGGCCGCTGGGGCGCGGGAGTACACCGTTGGGACAACCCCGTAGGCACCGAGCTAGTCGCGGCCGCACTCAGGCGGGAGGCAGCGCGACGTCCAGTTCTGCCGCGAGCTGTTCCGCCTCAGCCCTGGAGCTCAACCCTGCCCCTCGCGCTGTTCCTTTTTCGAGAGGAGGACGACGAAGCGGACGAGGAGAGGAGGAGGATGAGGAGGAAGAGGAGGAAGAGGAGGCGTCAGTTGCGACTAGCACGTTGCCAGCACCGCGCAATCGGACCGAATGGCACCTGCCCGATACCGAGGCGCCAGCTCACACCTCTGCCATCTCTTTGAACCTCTTCACCTCCCAGGAATCGACGTCCAAACATAGTTGTTTTCGTGATCGCGCTGCTTTCACTTCCCCTCGTGTTGCCTTCGCTCCGCCCTTGCTGCAAAGCGAAGTCGACATGGAAACGGCCAACGACATCGCTCAAACATAGTCTAAGTCGAACCCTGTCATTTGGACGCCCGACCTGGGTACGGAAAACATGGGTACGCTGCCCAAGAACACATGTTGTCCAAAAACAGCAGCGGCCGTTGTTGGGCAGGCGGCCTGCTGTCTCAAATGGACTCAAACGGACAACGTCCGCGGGGACACCGACAGCGAACCTTGCTCAAAATGGGCAGGAAGTGCGGTCGGTCTTCTTAGCGGGGTGCAGAGGGGGTAGGGGTATGAGGAGAAGGCTCATTCGAAGGAGGCTGCTTCTTAGAAGGCGTGGGCCTTGCAGCTGTAGACAAAGCCCGCGCCTACTGAGAAACACGGGTGCTTATA